TGAATTCTGGGGTTATACACTCAAACTCTGCACATGCGTTTTCCAATTGTATTCACACCCAAGCCTAAAAATCTGTAGGTATGAGGAAGTAAGATGACCCTCTGGTATAGGGCTCAGCAGCTCAGTCAGCGGCTCTTGTCCTCCAAGGCTTGGCTCAGACTCCAAGGGCAACCCTGCTTTTTTCTGCATTGTCAGCGACTCTGACACACAGAGCCACAGTGGACCTCACCATTGTCATAACTTTTTCCAACACAGGCCCACTTCCCCCCAGCCTGGCAGAACAGCCAGAAACTGCTTAGATACAGGTGGGTCAGCACCTATCCTGCCCAATGGTGTCCCCCAAACCCATTTCCATTTCTTCTCCCTAAACCACCCTTTCTGTTCTGATTTCTGCCCTGAGATTGGACATAAGGAAGACCTCACCTGGCTGGTCTCTCTCCTGAGCTCTGCACAGGGACGTGTCAGGCAGGATGAGTGGCATACCTGAGGCTATAGTTACAGGGACAGGGGGGTTCCTGGACCTGATCCCCCCACAGAGATGCCATTGTCATATCATCCGTGGCATCAGTGACACTGTCTGCATGGAACATCTGGGTGTCTCCAAGGAGGAGCAAGCTTTGTCCCCACTGCAAATCACTGCAAATCACTGCCAGCCTCTGCTGGTGATTACTGGTAATTTTGGCAACTAACAAGAGGATCCTAACAAGCAGCTGAACCCCAGGCAGGAAGAGTTTTCTTTGCTCCCTGTGGATGAGGCCAAGTTCAGAGTCAAAGCTGTACTCTGTGGTGGAACTGAAAGTCAAGGCGGGACCAAAACTTCCTTTTATTCTGTGTGTTACACAATTACACAGTATTTCCAAGTGGGCATTTCCTCAGTGCTCTCATGTTTCAAAATTCTGGCTGACACCCAAGACTGGCCCATAGTGTGAGCATCCCCATTCAATCTGGAATCTGGTCTCTCCCTTGACTTAAGTGCCGCACTGCTTGCCATGATGGCCCTGGGTCTTCAAACCTCGAGAATTTCCATCTGAAGCTACTCTAACCCTCCTCAGAATCCCTAGGTGTCCCTACTGTCCCCACAGGAGATCAAGTTGTCCACAGAAACCCCTGCAGACAATGAACCAGATGTCCTTCCTTTTTCTGTGAATTTACTGTGAAGATATATTCTTGATGTACAGACAGGATTCAGGGGAAAGAAACACATAGGACAGACAGAGAGATACCATCAAAACTAACACCAAGAAAACAGTGAAAGAACAGTTAGAAAATTGGGTAAAATAAAGAGAAAATTCACAAAATAAATAAAGAGATGACTCTGAATCACAGCAATGTTAAGTATGGCAAATCTTTCAATCCATTATTTATTGAGATTGGTTTAAATAGTCTCTCTTTTTTTCATTTTCATTCTATTTTTAGGATAAGCTTTCCAGTTTCACCAATGGCAACAATAATATCAACAGGATGGGATTATTATTACCATTTGTCAACTATTTAGATCAGCTAGGGGCATGAGTGGAAGCAGGGGGTATAGGGGAAATCTCTGTATCTTCCTCTCAATTTTACTTCAACCTAAAAATGCTCTAAAAAATAAACTTTATTGCCCTGGCTTGTGTGGCTCAGTGGGTTGAGCGCTGGCCTGCAAAAAAATGGTCACCAGTTTGAATCCGAGTTGAGGCACATGCCTGAGTTGTGGGCCAGGTCCCCAGTAGGGGGTGCACAAGAGGCAACCACACATTGATGTTTCTTTCCCTCTTCCTCTCCCTCCCTTCACCTGTGTCTAAAAAAAAATCTTTAAAAAACAAATTTTATGAAAAACTTTTTAATTGCAATCAAAAATAAAATTCAGATAGGGTCAGTAATGCACAGATATTATATGTAGAGGCAAAGGAGAAACATGATGTCTAAGTATGACAGCGAGGTATTTATGTATGATTAAAAAAGAAAACATTAGACTAGGTAGATATGTTTGAAAAGGAATACTGAATTTTTAAAAATTACTTGTTGATTGAACGAGAGAGAGAGACAGAGAGAGAGAGAAATTGATTTGTTGTTCCACTTATTTCTGCATTCACTGGTTGATTCTTGTATGTGCCCTGACTAGGGATTGAACCCACAACCTTGGCACCTCAGGACAGCACTCTAACCAACTGAGCAACAAGGCCAGGGCAATAATACTGGATTTTTAAAATGTTATTACAGTGTCATACCTGAAAGGATGAATGGAGATTTGGAAATGTAATATTTATTAGGCCAGAGACTGATCAAATCTAAATATTGGAGGGTTAAATCAGCCTTACATCAGAGTCAAAGGCCTATTTACAACTCCCCATCAATTTAAAAGTTGAAAAGCTTCCTCTGCTCAACACACAAACACACCTGAGAGGCCCACACACCAGAACATGTGGAGGTGGGACGAGGGAATGCCAGGGACAGTGCCCACAGATGCAGATGGTGGCTGCCAATGACCCAGCTAATGCACTAGGTGCGGAGGAGTCATGGGGCAGCCCCTCACTGTGGTGCAGGCAGGGGCAGAAGGGCAGCAGCACATCATTGCCCAAGATCCTGGCTCCCTTCCCTCTCCCACATTGCTTTAGAACTTGGAGCAACAGTAGAAATGGGTCTAGCAGGGGTGTCCGACCTTTCGGCATCTCTGGACCACAATGGAAGAAGACACATTGTCTTGGGCCACACATTAAATACATTGTGACACATAATCACAAAAAAATGTCATAATGTTTTAAGTAAATTGACATTTTTGTAAATTTTGGGGGCCACATTGGTAGCCACCCTGAGCCTCAAGCGGCCCATGGACTGCAGGTTGGACACCCCTGGGCACTCCTGGACAGCACAGCAGTCCAGGAACGAAGGAGCAATACTGTAAGCTTGCAAATGTGGCTCCCCACCCCCTGCCCCGCCCCCTGCCTCATCCCTCCACCATGGTGGTGGTGTCTTGAGACTGAGGCAACCCAGACATACCCACCCACCTGGTCACCCAGACAGCAAGCTGCATGATCACAAAGACAACCTCCCCCACCGCAGCCCAAGGAGCACTCGCAGAGCAGGTAAGAGAAAGCAAAAACTTGCCTGCCAGTAGACCAGTGGATAAAAACACTGTGATACATATACATAGTGGAATACTCCACAGCTGTAGAAAAGAAGGCACTCTTACATTTTGTGACAGCAGGGATGGACCTGGAGGGTATTATGCTGAGTAAAATAAGCCCATCAGAGAAAGACAAATACCAAATGATCTCACTCCTGTGGAATCTAATGAACAAAATACACTGACAGACAAAATAGAAACAGACTCACAGGTACAGAGAACAGACTAACAGCTGTCAGAGGGGAGGGGGTTGGGGCTGGGTGAAAAAGGTGAAGGGATTAAGCAAAAGAAAAAAAAATCAGACACAGACAACAGTGTGGTGATGACCAGAGAGGAAAAGGGATGGTGGGGACAGGTAGATGAGAGTAAAGCAGGGAAAAAAGTGGTGGAAGGAGACTTGACTTGGGGTGGTGAACACACAATACAATATACAAATGATGTATTATAGAATTGCAACCCTGAAAACTATATAATTTTGTTAAGCAATGTCACCCCCAAAAATTCAATATGTTTTTTAAAAAAAGATAGGTGTCCCTAGGCTCATGACAATAGCCAAGATGTAGAAGCAATGTAAGGGTCCATCAGTGGAAGGATGAAGATGACGTGGCATGTGTGTGAGTACAAGGTGAGGCAAAAGCAGGTTTACAGGTGTGAGTACAGGAAACAGAATTTATTCTTATATTGGCCCATTATCATATTTTCCATATGAACAACTGTAAACCTACTTTTGCCCCACTCTGTATATATGTATATATATTTGTGAGTGTGTGTGTGTATACATATATGTATACATATACACACATACATATATACATACACACATACACACAATGAAATATTTGGACATAAAAAAGATAAAATACCATCTTAGCATGGGTGGATCTTGAGACTATTATGCTAAGTCACATGGAAAAGAATAAAAAAATCATATTATTCACTCATGTGTGGGATATAAAATAAAAAAGAAAAGAACAAAACAAACTCATAGGTGCAGACAATGGAGGAGAAAAGGAGTGGGGGGGCAAACTTGGTCAAGGGGTTCTGATATATGGTAACAGAAGGAAACTAGGCTTTGGGTGCTGAGTACATTGTAGAATATGCAGATATCAGATTATAATGTTGTACACCTAAAGTGTATTCAATGTTACTAACCAATGTTGCCTCAATAAATTTAATTTTAAAAAATTTTATTCGCCCTGGCTAGGTGGCTCAGGTGGTAGGAGCATTATCCCAGGGACAAAAGGTTGCAGGTTTAATCCCCAGTCAGGGCACATGTCTAGGTTGTGGGTTTGATCCCTGATGTGTGTATGGGAGACAACCAATCGATCTCTCTCTCTCTCTCTCTCTCTCTCTCTCTCTCTCTCTCTCTCTGTATGTCTCAAATCAGTCAACATCCTTGGGTGAAGATGTTTTAAAAATCTAACTTTAGACAGTCAAACCAAAAATGGAACGTTTGGGCAGATGTTAGATGTAGTGATAACAATAAACTCTAAAATCTACGGACACATGCCAGCATCACTTCTAAGTCAGAAGTGTGAGAGGATGGTGGCTCCCTCAGGCCCAGGCTCCTGCAATGCAAGACATCGATGGAGACAGCAAAGGTGTGCTTTCCAAAGTGTGCATCCCTTTAATGTATTTGTTGTAAATATCACAAGGTAGGATGGGAGTCTGGGGCAATGGGGGATGGAGGTCTCTGGCACAGACAGCATGTACACGCTGACCCACGCACCACTGTTGTTGTGTTTTGCTAGAACACTGTGGAGGAGCTGCTGTGAATTCACAGCTCTCACTGTTATGACAGACAATTTCCCAGACAGGATGTGCTGGAAGGAGGGTCACCTGCCTCTTGTGACCCAAGAGAAGCCCGTGTGGGGAGCTTCCTGCCGGGGATCCCCTGTCAGAGGAGAAAACCTCGCATCCTGTCCTCCTCGGCCTCCCAAGGGTAATGTAAAATTCTCAGTTGGGGGTTTTTCTCCTCCACGGCTTTCAGCAGAACCTGAGTTTCCTCCTCAAACGCGTTTCTGTCCAGCCTGGGAAGACAGAAACATTTGGGCTCTCTGCATCCCCATGCCATTCTTCCCTGGAAATGACTGGGAGAATGGCATAAACACGGAGGAAAGCCCAGATCTCCCCCATACAGCAGAGACGTGAGGGTCAGAGTGGCGAACCACCTCATCCATCCAGGGGGCTGGCCATCTGGAAGGGTTTCAAATATTCACTCTCAAGCATCCATTCTCTTTGCTCTAAGCGCAAATATAACATTCGGAACAATCCTAACCGTGACTCTTGCTTCAAGAATGCCTGTCTGTTCAAGACTCAGCTTGCCTATTTCTAGAACTCCTCCCAAGTCTGAGCTAGGGTTATATCTTTCTGGGAAAATGTAAGTAGAAGACAGTATTTCTACATTAGTAAAGAAGGGGTTCTTGTCAGGGACAATTGTGCCTCTCAGGGGATGTTTGACAATGTCTGGAGACATTGTTTTTAATTTCAGGGAATGAATGAGATAGCCAGTCTTTTTAAAATTCATTCATTTTTGTTGCAATGGAATTGACATATAGTATATAAAAATTTGAGGTGTACAATGTGTGCAAGTTTGCTCCACCTGTAACATGCAATAGGATGGCCTTTGTCACACCACATAATTGTAATTTCTTTCTCATGGTGAGAATGATTAAGATCAAGTCTCTTAGCTGCTTGGAAGATTCCGTGTTCAATCATCAGGGCTGGAGGGAGGGGCTACAGGCACGTAACATGCAGATAGAGACCAGGCATGGTGCTCGACATGCTGCACTGCAGTGAAGAACTCTGCCACCCAAATGTATATCGTGTTGAGGCTCAGCAAACCCGCCCTGCCCCAGCACACATGCATCATCCCAAGGTCACTCACCACCAAGAAAAACGTCCACTCACCCAAGCAGCTCCAGGACGCAGTCCGGATGGCTCAAGGCTTTGCACAGCATCACCACCCCATCGTGGCCCAGGTTATTGCAGTCCAGGTTGAGGCTCTTCAGCGATCTCCCAAAAGTGAGCACTGAAGCCAGGTCCTCACAACAGGCCATGGTGAGCTCACACATGTCCAGCCTGCAACAGGGAAACACCCAGAGAGACCGCTGCAGCTTTGGCTGGCCTGGAAGGCACACCATCGTGAGATGCCAATTCCATGCCTCTGAGCAGGAGACTTGACGGTCTAGACCAGTGGTTCTCTGCTGGGGTCATTATGTCCCCTGGGGGACATGTGGCAATGTCTGGAGATATTCGACAGCTGGGGATGCTACTGGCATCTTGTGGGTAGAATGAGGCCAGGGATGCAGCTACCCATGCACAGGATATCCTACACATGCACAGGATATCCTACAATGCACAGGATAGTCCCCACCTCCCTATCACAGCAAAGGGCTATGCTGTCCCAAGTGTCAAGAGTGCCAAGATTGAAAAACCCTGGTTTCATAGGACAGCATTTTACTTAGATGATTCCAGACACACTTGTTTTGGACCCTGCTTCCCCTCTGTCCCATTAATCCTCCAACTGGCCCTAGTCTGGAAATAGGGAAACCTTCCCATAAAGACCATCAGTAAACACTCACCCAAGAGTCTCCAGTTTGCAGTTAGGGTGCTTCAAAGCTACACATAACTCTTTGACACCAGCATCTTCTATTTTATTGTTTTTCAGTTTCAGGGTTCTCAGCTTGGTGTTGCTAACAATAAGAGCAGAGAGGTCCTTACAGCAAACAGAGGTGAGGTAACAACTTGTCAACCTAGGGGGGAAATACACACACACACACACACACACACACATATAAATACAGTCATGAGGTCCAATCTTTAATGCCTCAGCTTATTTTTCATTTATTAATGTGAAGGATGAAATGCTCAAGTTCTTCTGAGATAGTGGTGATGACAATGGTGATGATGGTGAAAATGATTGTGATGGTGGTGATGATAGTAAAGATGATTGTGATGATGGTGGTGATAGTGAAGGTGATGGTGATGTTGGTGATGATGGTGAAGATGGTGATGATGATAATGATGATTGTACTAATGGTGAAGATCCAACAACTTCTCAAGTCCTTTTCAGCCCAACACTTGGGGCTCCCTACAATTCTCCTGCTCTGGTGGTCTGTCTACCCTTATTGTTCTTTCCAGTCGGAATGCTTTTGACTCAAATACCAGGAGGGCTACCCCTCACATATCCTTCATTTCTCTACACAATTGTCACCTTCTGGTGAGGACTTCCCTGAATATTTTATATAATATCATGTCCCCAGTCCCTTTGCTGCATTTAATCTCATGGTTCCCCACAGAATGTATCACCCACTATACAGAATGTATCACCCACTAACTTACATGTGTCTGTACACACATGCACACATATACACACACGCATAAGTCCCACACATATGTGGGTATGTGCGTGTATGTGACATACATGTATATAGGTACCTATTTATACACATATGCACCTAACACGTGTATGTGTGTATGTCTGTGTGTGTGTGCTGTGGGTATGCATATCTGTGGTTCTTAAGCAGAGATGACATTTGTCCATTCCCCTCCTAGGGGACATTGGCAATGCCTGCAGACATTTTTGGTTGCCACACTAGGAGACAGGGTGCTACCGATACCTAGTAGGTAGAAGCCAGGAATGTTAAACATCCTATCAAGTGCAGGATGGCACCTCCCAACACAGAATGATCTGGGCCAAATGTCAATAGTGCTGAGATTGAGAAACCATGGCATGCACACAAATACACATTCACAGCCTCACACTCACACATGTGTGCATGCAGCTGTGTATGTATGTGTGTATGTGTGCATATGAAACTCCATAAAGTCAACTTCCATGGAAACAGTTATGTTAGAGTGTTTCATTTACCACTTTCCTCATCTACTCAGGAGAGGTTCCAGATGTACAGGAAAAATGAATGACCCTCATCTTGCTCTTGGGGTGAGGTGAGGCACCCTTGCAAGTTCATCCAACTGGTCAAGGGCATGGAGGGCTCCATTTCTGGTGTTTCTGAGACTGGAGACCCGACTGCAGAGCAGCATGGCCCAAAAGTCCTGACTCATCCTTTAATTAAGACACACATATATCAGTGCAGCACTGGGCGCTCCTAGGCATACCAGGTGGGGTCAATGCTCAGCCTCGCTTTTTCTCAGTAGACGTCATGCTTTCCCCTCCCTGTTTTCTTGCAGTGTGAGAGAGAGAGAGAGAGAGAGAGAGAGAGAGAGAGAGAGAGAGAGAGAGAGAGAGAGAGAGAAGAGAAGAGAAGGGAAGGGAAGGGAAGGGAAAGGAAAAGAAAGAAAAGAAAAGACCTGAGTAAATCATAGCCACACCTACCACAACTCCTGTAAGATGCAGCTTGGGTACCTCAGTATATTACAGAAATATGCCACTCCCTCGTCTTTCAGGGTATTGGACCCCAGGTCAAGAATGGACAGGAATTTGTTGTGGTAAAGGGCTTCGGAGATGTAGTTACAGGTGGCAGAGGTGAGGCAACAGAACTTCAATCTGCAGAGAGACACACACACACACACTCAATTTGTCAGCCTGCTTGCACTCTAGGTGGTAATATTTTCCTGAAGCCACATGCAAAAACTTCATTGTTCCAAGCACTCCATGGTCTTTTGAGAAAGATGAGAGGATTAAAAAGTGTAGCAGCTGCAAAAATACAGAAGCAAGAACATGAAGACGGCACCCCAAACTGGGGAGTCTCAGATTCCATATCCAGGGCAGATCATCCCCCCAGCTCGGGGGACCTCAGACAAAGCCACCCCTCGTCTGCAATGCAGCATGCTAACTTACTTAGTGGAATGTGCTGGATCACACCTGATTTAACATAATTTTTCTTTCAAAAATATTATCTAAAACTTAATTCTGTGTTTATGGGTTCCTATTTATACACCATTAGAAGTGTGGAATATAACAGGATGAGTCAGATAGAAGTCACTACCTGGTAGCTCAGAACTTAATAGGACAACATGGATGCAATTGGTTTAATTGATATCTTGTTTAAAATTTAAAAAAATTAGCAGCTGCCCTGGCTGGGTGGCTCAGTTGAGTGGAGTGGTGTCCTGATATGGCAAGGTTGTGGGTTCGATCCCCCATCAGGGCACATACAAGAAGCAACCAATGAATGCCTAAATAAGTGGAACAACAAAATTGATGTGTCTCTTTTTCTAAAATCAATAAAAAAATCTTTAAAAACAATAAAACAGTTTGGCTTTAATGTTTACTGTTCTTGACATTTAATGTACAGTTGAGTTTCTTTTATGGTCTGAAAAGTCATCTCAGTAATACTGTTCTGACCCACCTCTATTTTGAATGCCACTCTGCGTGTGGTGTGCAATGCATGTATCTCTGCACCCATGCACACCTGTGCATGCACAGATAGAAATTTTGCTTCCGAATGACTCATCTGCTTCCACAGACATAGCTGTTCCTGCCCCTGCCCCCACCTTAAGGAATCACAGCATTTTGTGGGATTTAACACTGATTTCCTGGTGCAGCCTCATGGCAAATCAGCTGTGCACTCTACTGTACCTGAAAGAACTCAAGTGCATCCCTTTTTCAGACTAATTGACACTCTCCCCTCCCCAGCACCCAGGACACCTGCAGACACAGCATCCTCCACAGTGACAACGAGGATTGCAAATTCAATGCCAGGCCCCCCTGAGAGCCTCGCCTCTCTTAAATTCAGCCTCATGGCACCTCTGGGGAGCCAGTGACTCAGGTGGGCCGACGGCTCCGCCAACCTTCCACAGCCTTGTCAACGGAGGGGTCCAAGAGCAAGCTGCCCCAGACGGACTCACAGCAGCTTCTCCAGGGTGCAGGCTGGTTGCTTCAGGGCTTTGCACAGCTCCAGGGCACCCTCGTGCATCATGGGGTTCTCTACCAAGGAGAGCAGCTTCAGCTTCCGGTTGCATGGCAGGACAGAGGCGATTTCCACGCAGCTTTCCTGGGTGATGTCACACTTCCCTAACCTGTGTGGGATACACGTGTCAGGGGTGGGAGGAGAGGCTGGCAGGGCCTACAGGCAAACAGACATACACTCATAGATACGGAAGACAGACTAGTGGTTGCCAGATGGGGTGGAGGGGTGGCTGGGGGGGGCTGGGTGGAGAAAAGGGGAAGGGATTAGCCAAAGAACAGACATGCAAGACCCACAGACACAGACAACAGCATGGTGATGGCCAGAGGGGCCTGGGGTGGAGTAGAGGTGGGCCAAGTGGGGAAAATGAGGACATCTGTAATAATGTCAACAATAAAAATAAAGTAAAAAAAAAACCCTCTTGAAACTAAAAGAAAAATAAAAGTACAAATTGGTATTTCCAAAACATTCACAGGGATGTAAAGTTCAGCCCAGGAAATATAGTCAATAATGTTGTAATAACTACATAAGGTGTTAGGTGGGTACTAGTAGAATTATCAGGGGAATCTTTTCATAAGCTATATAAATGTCTAATCACTATGCTGTACACCTGAAACTAATTTAATATTATTGTATACCAAGTGCAATTGAAAAAATTTTTTTAATCAGCCATGGCCTTGGCCAGTGTGGCTCCATTGGTTGGAGCATCGTCTTGTGAATGGAAAGGTCGTGTGGACTGGACTGATCAGGGCAGGTGCCTGGGTTGTGGTTATTCTTGGTTGGATGTGTATGTGAGGCAACCTATTGATGTTTCTCTCTGGCAAAGATGGCTCTCTCCTCCCCTCCTCCCTTCCCTCCTCCCTTCCCTCCTCCCTTCCTCCCTCCCTCCAGGCCCTTGCCTCTAAATATCAATGAGCACATTCTCAGGTGAATATTAAAAGAAAAAAATTGGTCATGGACCACACCCCGGCTTCTGGTCTTGCACCTGCCAATCCAATGTCCACATTCCAGACTCATTAAAAAACCAAACTGGCCCTGGCTGGTGTGGTTCAGTGGATTGAGTGTCAGCCTGCAAACCAAAAGGTCTCTAGTTAGATTCCCAGTCTGGGCACATGCCTGGGTTTCAGGCCAGGTGCCCAGTAGGGAGCACGCAAGAGGCAACCACACATTGATGTTTCTCTCTCTCTCTCCCTCCCTCCTTTCCCCTCTCTCTAAAACTAAATAAATAAAATCATTAAAAAGAAAGAACAAATGCAATCCCACAACTCTCCTTATTAACCTTTGACTGCTTTCCACTGAAGTTAGGACACAGTCTGAGCCCGCGGTTCTCAGCAGGGCTGACTGTTGACTTCCAGGGAACATTTCCAGGAGTCTGGAGATGGTTGTGGTTGTTGCATCTGGGGCAAGGGACGTTATTGCCATGTAGTGGGTGAAGGCCAGGGACACTGCTCGACATCTCACTGTTGTGGGCAGCCCTCACGACAGAGGATTACTTGGGACTCTGCCTGATTACCTGATTATTTGTCAATAGTTCTGAGGTTGAGCAACCCCCAGTTTGAGCTGTAATGCATCTTCACAAAAGCATCTCGTGGGCGACAGCAGGTTTCTTACCACCTGCTTTGTCGTGGGGACTGCCCTATGCATTGTAGGAAGTTGAACAGCATCTCTGGCCTCCTGCCACTAGATGGCAGTAGCACCCTCCCCATGCAGTTGTGACCATCAACAATGTCTCCAGCCCTGGCATATGGTTCAGTTGCTTTGAGCCTTGCCTGGTACACCAAAGGGTAACAGGTTTGATTCCCCAGTCAGGGCACATACCTAGGTTGCGGGTTTGATCCCTGGTCGGGGCATGTACGGGAGGCAACTGATCAATATTTCTCTCCAACATTGATGTTTCTCTTTCTTTCTCCCTTCCTCTCTCGCTAAAATCAATACATACATCCTTGGGTGAGGATTAAAAAAAAATGTTTCCAGACACTGACATTTTGACAGGGACAAAACTGCCCTCTGTTGGGAACTACTGGGCTAGAGAAACCGGATACTGAGGACCTCTCACCCCCATTACCAAACAGAAGCGAAGGGAACAGTTGGTGTATCCCAAAGAAGCAAAGTTTCTGGCTAAAATACCTGTACAGCTCACTCCTGGTTTCCTATACCCAATACCCAATACTTAGGTTAAAGGTAATACATAAAACCCTATGCATATTAGTGTCAACAATTTAAAAATAAACACTTTAAACCCTATGCGAATGGCATAACATGAAACGGGGTGAAATACTCAGGAATTCTGTAGGTTCCCATTGAGTGGAGAGTGCTAGAGTTAAAAAAAAATTGTTACAATATGGAAACACCTCAAATGATGACTAGGACCTACAGGAAAGCCTAAATGTTCAAAAGCCCTTATGCATGGAACCTGCCTCCTTCTCCTGCTGAAGCTTGGTGGCACAATTAACTGACTGTGTGTGAATGCACTGTATTTGCCATTGTTCCTGCAAAGCAGAGGTGCTGAACTGAGAGAGAACATGCTTGCTTGGTGGGTTTGATTAGCTGGTTTGTTTACTGCTACCTTTATTACTTCCCTTTGTTCTTTCTGCTGAAAAAAAAAAATGGGTTGAGCCTGTCTAGAAGTCGCCCAACCAAGGCAGAGTTATCCCAGCCTATTTGTATATAATTTTTTAATCCTCACCTGAGGATGTGTTTACTGATTTTAGAGAGGGAGAGAAACATCAGTGTGAGAAAAAAAAAAACATTAATCTTTTCCTCTTGTACAGAGCGTGAACAGGGATTAAACCCACAACCTAAGTATGTGCCCTGACTGGGGATTGAACCTGGAAACTTTTAGTATGGGATAATGTTGGGAACTGCCCTGCCTGGTATCAGAAGCTGTAACCCCCGCCAAGGCTAAGGCTGAGGGAGTGGCCTTGGATGATAAGCCAGCAAGGAGACAAAAACTTATATCCCTGGCAGGAGCACTGCTTCTGCTGCTTCATTCATAACTGAACCCCAATGCTTGGTTGGTTAGCCAATGACGGGTAAGATTCCCCAAGGGAGGAATGATCTAAGACAGGCACAATCATGTGGGAGGCCCCCAAGAAAGGACTTTTTGGGGGCTACAGCAAAAGGGGGTGAAGGACCCTTGCTTCTCGGCTGTGATATAGCCTGAGTCTTCATCGTCTGGGAGAAAATCTCCTTATCCCATGGCTGCCTTAATTCCCTTGCTCCACCTAAGCCTGAAACAATGACAGGGTGGTGCAGCTATGTGCTGAAAAGGGTGGGTTCCCTGGGTGATCAGGCCTAAGAAAGAATATGTAAGATCCCATGAAACCTGAACCTTTGTTCAGAATGCTCTCAGTTGAATGATAAGGGTCCAAGGAAGAAGTAAGTATGTTCTTTAAAGTTTTACAGCTCTTTGATCTTGACTCAAAGTAGGCCCTCATACTTCCTTGCTCTCTATTGTTTGATTACTTCCCGGCAATGTTTAATGAGCTTTACCTGAATCCCTATGCAAACAAAACCAATAAAAAGCCTCTCTGGAGGGGGAACAGGGCGCTCTTCCCACCAGAGAGAGTGGCCATTCTGTTCCTACTTCCCCACAGGACCTGGTTGTCTCTGTGTATGTTTTTCTCGTGTGTTGACGAGCCATCCACAGCGTTCTGCAGTCACTGCCGGCCGGTGATCACAGGATAACACTCCATCCAACTGAGGAGCCCAGCCAGGCCCAGATCATTTTTAAGCAGAAGAAGCTGTTTTAGGCAAAGCAGTCGCTTTCCCTCTGGACTCAATATTGCCATCAGCCAAATTAGATGATCATGCATGTGGCCATTATATTCTTTCTCATTTTACGTTTCTACAATAGCTTCAGGGGAAAATGTTTGGGGTTCTGGTTTTGGCCTGGTTGGTTGAGGACAGAAGCTAGAAGAGTCACGTAAGTTGTCTGTGAGCCATTAAGTCAAGCAAGTAATGCAGAAGACAAGGGTGAGACAGCCCTTCTAAAAGGACAGCTTGCCCACTAGACTTCTCCTCCCCTTGCCAGGACATCTGCGGATGCCAAGATGGGCATGATGAAGCATGCAAGAAGCAAAGGCTGATGCAGGAAAGGAAGTGGGCACATTTGAACTGCCAGGCCCCCATGGAAAGAAATATGCCATTCACCACAGAAAACACACTCACATCAGCTGTTCTATGTTGCAGAAGGGGTGTTTCAGCATCTCACACAGCTTCTTGACTTGCTCATGGGACAGGTTGGTGCCATGCAGGTTCATATATGTCAGGTGAGCATTGTGCAGAATGACCCTAAAGAAGTCAACACCATTTCCAAGGCCAAAAGCATAACTATACCTACAAGAGATGAGGCATTAGAACCTATGGAATGAAGTCTAAGCACCAAGCAAGATTCCCCTTACCCAATTCTTCCTACCGCCCTGTTATGGCTCATGTCCCTGCCCTTAGAAATCTGGTTATTCTCGCCTATAAATTTTTTTTCTCTTGGGAACTTCAGACAGCAGACAAGCACTGAGGCTCCACTGCTTGGATGTTTCCTGTTTCCTCCTAGTCTCTCCTCACCCACGTGTCACCACCCACAGTAGGAGGGGGGAGCAGTCCACAGTGAGTCCTCAGCACTAGGAGGATGGAGACACTGTGTCTGTGTCTCTGTGAATGTTCCTAGGCTTAGAACAGCACCTCACATGCAGTACAAATGCCCACCACTGAACTAATGCTCCGGGCAAGACTGTGTTCCCAAGGAATGGGTCCATTTCATTTTAAAAACTAAGATTTGTTTTACAAGGAGATAATTTTTAAAAATAAATTAAAATTACACAATAAAAAAAGAGACAATCTGTGTAGAATTTTTGCATTTTTTTCCTGGATGCAAGGTTGGGCAAATTAATTTCTTCATGCTCTCATTTCTTCATGAAAGCAATAGATGGTGTCGTGATGGTTAAGAAATCAACATTTATTGTAGTGCCTGGAACATGGTCAGTGCAGGTTGGAGTTGATTTTTTTGAATCATTATTATATTACATTTCCACATATCTACATATACTTTTTGCATATCTCTCTCTATATATTATATTTTTATACATCCAACTCACATCAATTTTTGAAGTTTGCAAGTGGACTGAGTGAGTGATTTCCAGAGGATTGCGTGGGAGGCGTCGTCAAAAACACAGCTGTCCAAGTCCAGCACCTGAAAGTCCTTGCTGGTGCTGAACACTGAGCAGAAGTCCTTCCAGTAGCCCAGTTTCTGGCTGGTACTGTGAGGGGACAGACCCTGTGAGACTCCAGTGGCTACATTCAACTCAAGATGTTCTCAGAACAGGGGAAGCACTGTTCCCATGGCCCCTCCAAGCGGGACAGACACCCAGGCCTGAACAGGGAGTGGTGTAGCCAGGTAAACTGAGTCAACATGGCATGGTGGTTGAGAAAGTGACTCCCAAGGCCACAGCAATGTGATCAATCCCCATTTCAACCACTTGTTAGCCATGTGACCTGAGCCATCTTATTCTGCCTCCATGACAATATTTGATGATTATGAACAAAGGTTGGCTTTGGGTGGTCCATCACTGAATGGGAAATTGTATCCCAAAACATGACCATACAGGTATAAAATAAATAAGCCCTGGGGATGTAATGTACAGCATGATGACTGCATTTAATAATAATGTGGTCTTGGTTGGGTAACTGAGTTGGTTAGAGTATCATCCTGACATGTCAAAGTTGCAGGTCCAGTCTCAGGTCAGGGCGCATAGAAGAGTCAACCAATGAGTGCAGAAATAAGTGGAACAACAAAGTTGATCTCTCTATCCCTCTCTCTCTCTCAAACACACACAAATCAATAAATAAAATTTAAAATAATAATAATAATATTGTATATTTAAAGTTGCTAAGAGAGTAAATCTTAAATGTTCTCATCACCATATCAAACCCCCCCAAAACTAAACTGTAACTACCATACTTTGCTGCATATAATGCACACCCAGTTTTTTGTGTGCATTACACACAGAATTATTATACCCATCATTACACTCATGGTATGTAATCATTATACCCAAGTATAATGTGCTTCCTTATTTTTCCTTAAAAAAGTTGGGCAAAAAAGTGTGCATTATATATGACAATATGCAGTCCGTATGGTGATGACTGTAAGCTACATTTGTGATAATTTTGCAACACATAGAAATAGTAAATCATTATGTTGTACACCTGAAACTAAACTAATGTTATGTGTCCATTATACCTCAATTAAAATTAAAAAAATTTTTTTTCCCTGGCCGGTGTGGCTCAGTGGACCGAGTGCTGGATTGTGAACCAAAGGGTCACCCATTAGATTCCCAGTCAGGGCACATGCCTGAGTTGTGGGCCAGGTCCCCAGTAGGGGGTGTGCAAGAGGCAACAACACATCGATGTTTCTCTTCAGCGAGAGAGGGAGAAAAAGAGGGAGAGAAACATTAATGTGTGGTTGCCTCTTGTGTGCCCCCAACTGGGGACCTGGCCCACAACCCAGGCATGTGCCATGGCTGGGAATTGAACTCGCAACCCTTTGGTTTGCAGGTCAGCACTCAATCCACTGAACCACACCAGCCAGGGCACAAAGCTGTGTTTTATAAGCAGACAAATATAAGGATCCATGAAATACCCAGAGGGGACTGGAGCAGGCTGCAGCCAAGGTGGGGGCAGGGGAGGGCGCATTCAGGTGGACTTACTTTAAGGTGTGTTCGCGGTCATCTGGAAACACATGTTCTAGAGTCAGGTGAAGTTCCTTCAGATTGTGGGTATGTTTGAAGCAGAAGGCAGAGACTACAAAATCATCCGCGTGGTTGATATAAATGTCAACCTTTGGGAAGAAACTCATCACTTGTGTTGTAAATTCTTCTTCCCGGTTCTCAAATAAACTGTTGAACAGTTCCCTAAATCCTACCAAGGCCTGACTGTCCACGTACTGACTAAAACTCCGAAGGCACTCGATTATTTCCAGCTGGATCTCCCTGGACAGTGGGACGTCAAAGACCGTCTGCAACATGGAGGTCATTTGTTCAGCAGATAACCCAAACAGGAACATTCCTGTTTGCATCAGGTAGGACGGGGCGAGCGTCACTGTCGCTTCCACGACCTGGGCCACACTTCTGATGGTTGGGTCAGGCTGGCTCTGGGGCCCTCTCAGCAAATACCACAGGGCTGCAAAGAACCCCTGGACGCATATGTGGGGGAAGGTGACCCGGTCCTCGTTCCTTCGCAGGAGTTGCATGCCCACCCACATCGAGGCGTCAGTCTCTGAGATCCCATTCCTCTGGAGATCCCAGAGTTGAAATACGAACGAGTCGGTCCAGATGCCTTCCGCAGCCAAGGCGCAGAGGGCTTTGATCTTGGCAGTGCTCTGCCGTGGTGTGAAGTTCTTCAGCCCTGATTTAAGCACACTGGTCGCATAGGAGGCATATAAGGAAGTGATGCTGTAGATGTCGATGCTGAGGTCTTCTCCTCTCTCCAGCTGCCACTTCAGACATGAACACAACAGCCAGCACCCGAGTGGGTACTGGCATAACAGGAACAGCTTGGCGTGGTCCTTCACGAGACTGAAGGCTCTGGCAGCTTGATGCTTCTCCCCCAAGAAGTGGGAGAAATATAGTTTCCTTGTGTGTGCAGAGAATCCCTGTATGTTTATGTATTGCGGATACTGCAATGAGTAAAAATATTTTTTCATCCCTACCATCCCTAAGGCCAGCAGCAGAGAAGACTCCGGAAGCATCTTTCTGCGCAGCAGACTGCCCAGGAGCACTGGTGTTGGCTGTCGCTGCCTCCAGTCACTGCAGGGGTTGTTAAGGTCCAGGTAAAACTTCAGCTCCTCGAAGCCATCCATCATGAACAGGATTCTCTGTGGCTGGGAGAAAACCTCTTCGATGGGCTCTGAGCACTCGGGCCAGTCCCTGGAGATGAGCTGCACCAAGCTGGTCTCTGTGATACTGTTCATTTCATAAATGTTGAGGAAGAAGACGAACGTGAACCTTTCCTTCCATAAGTTTCCCTCTGCCCATTCCAACATCAGTTTTCTCAGAAAGGTGGTTTTCCCAGCTCCTCCCAAGCCATGCAAGACCACGGTGACTGAGGTCTCCTCAGCCCAGTGGGCCCCGTAGGCACTGCTCAGCTGCTCGTACTCCGTCTTTATGGATCCTCTGTAGAACTCGTCAGGCACTTCAAGACAGGTTTCCTTTTCCCACACACGACGGAATTTTTCCTTCATGTGACTTTTGTAGGGGTTAAGCTTATCTGAGTTAACGAAGACAGAATACAAGAGGATTAAAAAAATCCACTCTTTCACAAGAGCCAAGAGAAGGAATGACAGGATACAGAACATGTGTTATATGTGTGTGTATATATATATATACATATATATATATACATATATATATATGGAATACTACCCAGCCATCAAAATTGAGAAAGTGTAAGTGAAACCATATGGTATTTGTCTTTCTCTGTCTGACTTATTTCACTTAGTACAATACCCTCTGGTCCACCTACATCACTGCAAATGGCAAGACTATATTTTTATGGCTTAGTGATATTCCATTGCATATGCGTACCACTTCTTTATCCATCATCTGTCATTGGACACTTGGATAGCTTCTGTATCTTGGCTATTGAAAGTAATGCTGCAATGGATATAGGGGTGCATATATCCTTTCAAATTAGTGTTTTTGTTTTCTTTGGATAAACTTCCAGAAATGGAATTTCTGGGTCATCTATAAAACAAACACACAAATGAAACAAAAACATACTCATAGAAATAGAAACCAAAGGGACAGTGACCAGAAGGGAGGGGGTGGATGGAGTGAAAGGAGGAAGGGGAATATAGTCAATAATAATGTGATAAGTTTATATGGTGACAAATGATTAATGGAATTAGTGGGGTGATCCCATTGTAAGATACAGAAATATTAAATCACTATATTGTACACCTGAAACTAATATAACCAACATATGATTATATACCAACTATACTTAAATTAAAAATATTCAGTTGTAATCCCAAAGATGATAGTAATGAAAGTTCCAATGCTACACTTTCAGGAATTAAAAAAAATGAAATATTGTCTGTCATTTGTGACAACATGAATGAATCTTGGGAGTATCATACTAAATGAAATAAGTCAGACAGAAAAGGATAAGAACTGTATGATTTCACTCATTCATGGAATACAAAGCAGAAAGCAACAAACAAACTCAGACCACAGGGGAATGAGGTGAGGGGAAGATGAAGTGGAGGGGGGTCAAATATACGGCAACAGAAGGAGACTAGACTTTGGGTGGTGAACACAATGCAATAGATAGATGATGCCACATAGAAATGTACACCTGAAACATATGTTATTAATGAACACCATTGCAATAAATTTAAATTTAAAAAAGATTTTATTTATTTATTTATTTATTTATAGACAGAGGGGAAGGGAGGGAGAAAGAGGAAGAGAAATATCAATGTCTGGTTGCCTCTCATGAAACCCCTACTGGGGACCTGATCCATAGCCCAGAATTCCCTGCCTGGGAATTGAACCAGCAGCCCTTTGGTCATCAGACCGGTCCTCAATCCACTGAGCAATACCAGCCAGGGCTTACATTTTTTAAAATGCATTCATTCTTTGTTATGTGGAAAAATCCCTACAGGTTGACCTAAACACACATGTGAAGGCTAATGTATGTCCATGGATGATCCAGCGGATTTAACTCAGTTTTGTTAGGACCAGAATCCATCTGAAACCCTGTCTATAGAAGAACCCGATCAAAACTGGAAGCCCACCTCTGAGTACAGGCTGCACAAAGTGTAGATACTTGGAAATTACATTCAGAACTGAAGAGGGGGTCATCTCCCCCAGGTAAAGAATCCATAGAGCTACCATGTATGGAGGGTTTGCCAGGAATCAGTAGGAAGTTGTTGTTATTGCTCCTCAAAAAACCATTAGCATCCACTCCACTACCACTTTTACAAAAAATCATTGAAGGAGTTTATGCTATTTGGCTGGTTTGACTTGTGAGTAAATATTAGGGTCCAGGGTCTATGCTATGTCTGCCTGACCTGAAACCATAAGGTCTAGACGATTTCTACTGCACCATGAGGAGGCTAGCTAATTTCAGAAATATACCCTTGAACCATCATTCTTTCACCTGGCCCTTGTATGACCAAGGGAACTCCTCTTTAATAGAGGAGGTAAACAAAGCTACAAATATTGGCAAGGACCACACTCTGCATTGCAGAAATGAGCACCACAGAAAGCCAGGCACCTCTGCATGTCTTCTGAGCAAAGGGCAGGGATAGCTTTGTTAAAGGACCTTTGCTAAAGGACTGGAAAACAGCCTAGGGATGGGGAGATGGTCTTTCTCTCTCTGGTGCAGAGGAAGTTTTGTTTATAAAAACAGGAGAACTTGACCCTGGCTGGGTAGCTCAGTTGGTTAAAGCACTATCCCCATACCCCAAGGCTGTGGGTTCAATCCTTAGTCAGGACACATACAAGAATCAACCAATGAACATGTAAATAAGTAGAACAATAAATCAGTATTCATCTCTATCTCTCTCTAAAAAAATTAATTAAAAAAATTTTAAAACATGAGAATTTTAGAGATATCTGTCTCCTTTTGTATATTTCTGTGTATGTATGTCTCTCTCTTGCTCAAATCAATAAGCATATCCTTAAGTGAGGCTTAAAAACAAAAAAAGAAGGACAGACAACTACCATCTCAGCAGATGCTAAGTCCCAGGTCACCCTTAGCAGCATGGACTCACTTCAGGACGTACAAAAGGGGACACCACTGAGATCAACAGTCTGCCCCAGACACTACCCACCGCCCCATCCATCACTGGCTCATCTATGCATGGAATTGGCTTGTAATTTGTCTACCACCTTCAAGTGTCCCCTTGACCTATAACACACCCTCAATAACAGGTGGAGGGGTCACCATGACTTTAATGACTACATCCCCTTCATTATTGTAAGCTCCCAGTAGACCCACCCTCCCCCATGGGTCACACCCCTGCAACACACACTTACTTCTGATCTCATCCTGAGCCTTGGTCCAGAGGTCTCCCCGATTGACCTGTAGGAAGAGGTTCAGCATGACCTCCCATGCCTGCTTTCCTGGGTAATGCTTGTCCAGCAATGCTGCTACATCTTCTTTTGAGGCTTTCTTCAGCTCAGGGCATGGGATGGGGCTGAGCTTGAGTTTCAGAAGCTCTTGCTTGAGGAGCTCCTTAAATTTCCAGAACTCTTCCTTTCTGAGCTCCTTGAGGTACCACAACAGGCCAAAGTCAGCAAAGAAAGATTCAGCCATCTCGTCCCAGGGATTGCGAACTTGGATTTCTCCAAAGGAAAAAAAAATCTTCAAAAACAAGAAATAGGTGATTCCTGGGGAATAATGATGGGATTACAGAGTTAAATCTCAGCAGTCAAAAGTGGCATCAGCACACTGCCTACTAGAGTCAAGGTATGGAACCAGCCCAAGTGCCTGTGGATAGACAAGTGTATGAAGATGTTGTACATGTATACAGTGGAATACTACTCAGCCACAGAAAATGAAATATTGCCATTTGCAATGACATGGATGGACCTAGAGGGTATTATGCTCAGTGAAATAAATCACATAGGAAAAGACAAACACCATGTTATTTCACTCATGTGTGGAATTTAAAGAACAAAATAAACAAAACAGAAACAGACTCACAGATACAGAGAACAGACTGATGGTTGCCAGAGGAGAGGGGAGTTGAGGACTGGGTGAAAAGGTGAAGGGATGGAGAAGTACAAATTTGTAGTTACAGAATAGTCCTGGGATATGAAGTACAGCATAGTCAAAAATTATTATAATTATGCATGGTTCCAGGTGGGTACTAGGCTTAATGGATGAACACTTTGTAAGTCATGTAAATGTTGGGCTATTAGCCCTGGCTGGTGTGGCTCAGTGGAGTGAGTAGTAACCTGTGAACCAAAGGGTCCACAGTTCAATTCCCAGTCAGGTGTCCAGTAGGGGGCACATGAGACCAAACCACATACTGATGTTTCTCTCCCCTATCCTTCCCTTCCCCTTTGTAAAAATAAGTAAAATCTTTTCTTAAAAAGTGTCAAACCATTATGTCGTACACCTGAAACTAACATAATATTGAATGTCAACGGTAATTGAAAAGTGAATTTTAAAAAGTAAAATTTAGAAAGTGAAACTTGTCCTTTAACAGAAATAAAATTTTCTTACAAACACATTAAAAAGGTAATAAGGCCCTGGCTGGGTAGCTCCATTGGTTACAGCATCATCCCCAAATGCAAAGGTTGTGGGTTCAATACCTGGTCAGAGCACATACAAGAATCATCCAATCAATGCATGAATAAGTGAAACAACAAATTGATGTTTCTCTCTCTCTCTCTCTCTCTAAAATCAATCAACAAAAATTTTTAAAGGCAATTAGAATGCAGTACAATTGATTTACTAGTACATTACTTAAAAAATAAAATGATATTAAATATAATATTTTAACTTAGATATGCATTCTAAGCAGTGTAGCTTGATGTCATACAATTTTAGCAAATGCCTGCTTTTGTTGGCATTCTTTCTCTAAGGCTCACCCATATTGTTGCCTGTGGTCCCTTTGTATTGCTATATAGTATTCCACTGTTACTACTTCAATTCTTTTTTGTTTTTTAAATCCTCATCCAAGGACATGCTCATGGGCTTCAGAAGTGAAGGGAGGAGAGAGAGGGAGAGAAACATCAATTGGCTGCTTCTTACATGCCCTAACCAGGGACTGAATCTGCAACCTTTCAGTTTAGGGGATGACGCTCCAACCAACTGAACCACTCTGGTCAGGACACTATTCTAATTTCTTAATGCTATAGGTAACCGGCATGTAGAGGTCTTTCTAATTTGTTTTTTTGTTTGTGTGTTTGTTTTTTTACAACATGAGTGATGCATCTGTGAACAAGCTTTCACATGTGTCTGGGTGCATATAAACAGGCATTTCTCTAGGTTTCTAAGTATAGGTTGTAACCTACATGAGTCTTGGTGATGAATTTTCCCTCATGAGTAGAATGATCTGATTCCCAGTCACATCCTAGGAGAGTTTCTTTGTGGTACCACGCTGCCCATACTTGACATAATCTAACAGGGGTGTCCAACTTTTTGGTGTCTCTGGGTCACACTGGAAGAAGAAGAGTTGTCTTAGGCTACACATTAAATACATTGCAACACATAATCACCACAAAAAATAATCTTATAATATTTTATGTACATTTACAGTTTTGTTTTGGGCCACATTCATGGCCATCCTGAGCTGCAGGTTGGACACCCCTGAATTCTAACCCAATGTCAGTACCAGAAAAACTGAACTGACATGAAAATTGCAGGTGATTTCATTCTAGGAGATGGAAATAAGGAGTGGGGAGAGAACATCTAAGCAAACTCAGGTTTTCCTCTCACTTGGGAGACGTGCCTTCTTGTTCCTAGAGACTGATGGTATGCTAATATTTCAAAAGAACAACTAGAAAAACAGTCACCATTGTCAATAAAACCCATGTGTCAAGGAGTTTTATACTGTACATCAAGGATCATAACAGTATTACTCACAAGAGCCAAAAGGTGGGAGCAACCCAACTGTTCATCAAGGAATGAACAACATGTGGTCTACATGAGCAGTGGAATATTACTCAGTCATAAAAAAGAAATGGACCTCTGACACATGCTGCCACACAGAGAAGCTTTCAAAACATCACAAAGTAAAATAAGCCAGACACAAAGAGATAAACCTTGTATGATTCCACTTACATGAGATGCCCAGAATAGTCTAATTCACAGAGGCAAAGTAGAATAGAGATGTTGGGGAAGGGGGAATGGGAGTTGTTTAGTGGAGAGTTTCAGCTGGCAGGGATGAAAAAATTCTGGAGATGATGGTGGTGATGGTTGCATAACCATGTGAATGCATTTACTGCCACTAAACTATACTCTTAAAAATGTCTAACGTAAGGGGGAAAGGGGCCAAATACATGGAGACAGGAGATAGATTTTGGGTGCTCAGCACACAATGGAATATACAGATGATGTATTATAGAGTGACACACCTGAAACATATAATGTCATTAACCAATGTTACCTCAATACATTTAATCTGAAAAAAATGGTTAAAATAGTAGACTTTGTTGTATGGATATGTTGCCACATTTTGTAAAATTTTTATTTATTGATTTGAGAGAGAGAAAAGGGAAGGGAGGGAAAAAGAAAATACTGATTTCTTGTGCATTCATTGGTTGGTTCTTGTATGTGCCCTGACCAGGGATTAAACCTGCAACTTTGGCATTTTGGACAATGTTCTAATCTCTAACCAACTGAGCTACCTGGCCAGGGCCAATATTTCACCACAATTAAAACAAAAACAAAATTCTTTTGTCATAAGGCTTTTCTCTAAACATTCCTTTCTCATTCCTTTTCTAGCTGAAACCTTCTGAACACAGTAGTTGTGTCCCCTGAGGCCCAAGCACTGGCTGATTAATGTCCCTGCCCTCACATTCCATGGTCCAGATGGGCAGTGGGCACCTCAGCGAAATGCCCTAACATCTCACAAATTCTCACCAGGCATACATTAGGTTCCACCACCTTTTTGTGTTGTAACCCTCACAGTACGGGCACAACCTGCCTGACTTCGCAACTCACTTCACCTGACTCACTCCCGCCCTCCCTGGTGGCTGTAGCAAACCACCATTAGTGACAAAATTATTTGCATATGATTTAGCATACAATGAAGACCCACTAGAACTCCTGGATGGTGAAAGATTAGTGGCTGGAAGCCAATCATCCATCCAAACTACCACAGCAACAAGTCCCACACTCAATTTTCCCCATTTCCTGTCTGCCCTCTCCCTCCCATAATTCACCCTTACTTAAGACCTGCATTTCACTGGTCTCCCCAGGTTACAGGAATCTCACAATTAGAACTGAGAGACCACCCAAGTTCAAGGCTTTGACTTTGAAGGACTTTTGGTATTAGTTCTCTGACAGCCAAAGCCCTCCAATTCAGTCTCCAACTCAATTTTATTTTGTCTTTTTTTAAAAAAAGATTTTATTTATTTTCAGAGGGGAAGGGGGGAGAGAAAGAGAGGGAGAGAAACATCGATGTGTGGTTGCTTCTCACATGCCCCCTACTGGGGACCTGACCCACAACCCAGGCATGTGCCCTGACTGGGAATTGAATGGGCCACCCTTTGGTTTGTAGTTTGCGCTCAATCCACTGAGCCACTGGTGTGGCTGAGCCAGGGCTCAATTTTATCTTATCTTGTTTTATTTCTTATTCGTTGATTTTAGAGAGAGAGAAGAACGTCAGTTTTTTGTTCCACTTATTTATGCACTCATTGGTCGATTGTTGTGCGTATGGCGACCAGGGATGCAACCTCGGCATACCAGGCTGACATCCCAACCACCTGGCCAGGGCTCTGATTCAGTTTGAGAAAAGTAGGAAGCCTCGGTTCCATTCTCTTACCCAGTTTAGCACTGGAAACACGGAGGTTTCAAGAGGAGGTGCTGCATGCACCACCTCTCCAAGAATTTAAGCACTTTTCACCTTAAAACATCCTTGGCATAACCAAGGGGGCAGGACTTGGCCTTTTGGGTACCCCCTACCTCATTCCTAAGGTACCCCAGACCTACAGTAAGTGCTGAGAGGAGGGGAAAGAAGAAGAAAGAAAAAAAGATCCGAGAGAAGACATCCTCACCTGATCCAGCTGCTGGTCTTCCAGGCTGGTACCCATCAAAGAGCCTCTACAGGCACTGAGACTAAAAGGCTCTTCCAGCCCTCCGATTGGCTGTAGCATCCCTCTCCTCCCATTGGCTGGCTTGACTCTTGATTGATGCAGCTCAGAGGGTGATGTGAAAGTGTTGAGGCTTGTTTCTTTCACCTCAGGTGTGAATGATCTTCCTTCCTGCATATCTCCAAGACACTACTAATAGACTCTCCCTCTGTGTTATAATCTCTGGGCTTCTGTAAACAACCTTCTCCCACTTCCAAAGGCAGGCAGTTGGAGACCGGTAGTGAGGACCACCCTGCTCCTAATCTGATTGTCCACTTTCCCCATGCTCTAAGCTTCCCCAGAGAAGCTATCTTGCTCATTTTCTCAACTTTCATAGAAGCATAGAATTTTTAGAATGGAGCCTTTATTCTTGGACAATGAGCTCTGGGCAGAAAGGGTAGCAGAATTTGCAAATATCTTGTATTTGTAATTGTGATAGGAATACTGAATATAAGATCTACACTCTTACCAACATTTTTTTTGTTTTTGTTTTATTGATTTTTAGAAAGA